GTACAGCTATGTGGAACACCATACCTTGCTGAAGATGACAAAATGGGAGGTCAATGGTAAGTTGGATGTCTTTTAAACAAACAGACAGGCTGTGATTGGCAACCAATTATTAAATTTTATATTAATTAGTATTCACCATCTGGTCCTTGTGTCACTATGAGTTCTTACCCTAGCTTAAAGATTTGACTTAGTTTAAGACAAACGCTTTTTTAGGTCTTCTTTTTGAAAAGAGATTCTGATGGCTGAAATTGCTTAAAAAAAACTATTATGTTGGATAATTATCCTGAGTTTTTGGGGTTTTTTTTTCATTAATTCATTATATTGAATAGACAGGAGCATGAGTTTATTATTATTATTAATAAGAGTGTTTTGTTAATTGTTTTTGATAATTAACCTTAATGAATGTTTTATTTATTAATTGTTTTAGACTATAGGAGGTCTATCTAGTGACCTCTATAACAGTGGAATCTACTATACTCCACTACAGAAACTCTGGTACTATGAAGTTTTAATAACTGATATAGCTGTAGACTCTAATAGTCTGGGACTAGACTGTAAAGAGGTGGGTAATACTTGGGCTTTTGATTGTTTTTTTTTTTTGAAGGGTGGGGGTTGGCTTTATTGGGTAGGGTTTTTATTGTTTGGGTGATTATCATAATTCGTGTTAACCCAGCTGCAAATAGGTACAGATAATCTGGAAAAAACGAATGCCTAGACATTCGGCCAAGGAAGAATCGTTAACTGTGAACCTAAGTTGTTATCCTTCTAAAATATAGTTGTTTCTTCTTTTCTTTTTTATACTATCATCTGTTGGTTTATCTGTATAATTTCAGCATAATTATGACAGAACAATAGTAGATACAGGAACGACTAATATGAGATTCCCCAAGCGTGTTTATAAATCCATATTAAACCACATACAACATAAAGTCCAGGTAAGTTAACTTAAGACCATATATTATTACAAATATTCAGAATTTAAAAACCCAGTGGAAGATTTGCATCAGTATATATTGTGGAGTAATACAATATCAAATGATTTATTGGATTCTCATAAAAAAAAGTATAGCACTTAATTACATGATATATAGGGTAGTAGATGATGAAACCAGGTGACATTACGCATTATGTATGCATTTTTATATTACTTGATTACTTGAGTTCAGGGTATGACAATTGATTTTATTTACCATCAGTGTTTAAAGTGTTAACTATTTTCATTTCAATTTGATTAACAGATCATGGAGCGTCCATTTTCTCCGTCATTTTGGAGTGGAGATGAAGTAATGTGTTGGGAAGATGCTATGTTACCATTCCAAGTTTTTCCTACCATCTCTCTTTCAATGTATCACAGTGAAAATTCTTTATTTAAACTACATATACCTTCCGAAGTAAGTTGAATATTCCTTTAAAGCACACTCCTGTTCATCAAGTTTGCTTTTTTGTACATCCAGTGTTCTTTGTTGGTAGATGACAAGTTAACGTCTGCTCCCAGATAACTGATATCGCAGACTAGGTAGATGACAAGTTAACGTCTGCTCCCAGCTAACTGATATCACAGACTAGGTAGTTGTTGGTAGATGACAGACTTGGTTCATTCTGCCAAGTGGTACAGATAGTTGAAATAAGTGTGTAGTTTTACCAGATTTACTAGTAAGAGTAAGAAATGGTGTGCAATATATTCACAATTATACAGTATATGAATATATTTCTTTCTCTTTTCAGAAATATTTA